TCAGCCTAAGCTATCCAATTTGACATCTAGTGAATGAGAATGATTGTGACCTCCATGTACAAACGATAAATGGTCTTTTTGTAGACAATCCCTTAAGTTTTAGAGTAAAGGTACTATTCTTTATTTTGGGTAATTCAGTAGGAAAGACAGGCCCCTACCCGTTTTTTTCGAGTAGATTAGAAATTAACATTTTTAAATGTGGTAGTGGGGTGGTTTTAGTGGGGGGAATGAAACAATGACATGGTGACTAGGGTGGGGTGCAACCACCACAAATCCAGCCCCTTTCCCAGGAAAGGTACGCCTTTGAGCTAAAGATATTCCATTCCTGATGGAGTAGAATGTCCATTTACTCCCATAGGTAAAACCCTACTTAGAATTAATTTCTGACTTTAAATTTTAGAGATATAATCTCTTCATCCCATAGATTAACCTCAATAAAAAATATTTTAAATTGTACCCTCTGTACCCCTAAAAAAAAAGAGTCTTGAGATTGAATATAAACCATCTAATTTTTACATAGTGAAATCTAAGTGTTCGAAAACTCAAATTTCAAATTTTTTTTTTCTTTTAAAATAATCATCTAATAATTCTTAAGTGGTTCCCAAAATTTCAAATTGAAAAAATCCTCCCAAATAGATCTTCTGGCCAAGGGAGTTAGAAAACAAATCTATGCTACCCCAAGAACATAATATATGTCTTTTTTTAATTTGGGAGCCTAGAGTCTATGAGAAAGCATATAAGTTTGATCTAGGGAACCATATACAAGATAAAAATTTCATGATCAACGGGAAGAACCTATCAAGTTTTAGAAATCTACACTATATTTCAGGATATGTTAATGTTCCTTTAAGAGCACGTGCTCCGGTAAGGGCCCAATGGGCAATAGCACACATGAAAATTTGTAGGACGATCAATTATTTGTTTCCTAATCATGAGTCTTGATCTGACAAGTCATTTTGATGGACATATTTTTTTGGTTAAACCCAGTGACATAAAAAAATGGATTGGTGGGATGGATTGTCCACCTACCAATGTCGACGTAGATTGGCTAAGTTGGTAATATTGACATTTAAAATTGGCGATCTAAAAAATTGCAAACAATATAAAAACAATAACGTATGGAGCCTGTATATGTAGAAATTGTGTCAAAATACCTAAATTGCCGCGTTGGTTTGACCTTTTGCTCAAAAAGCACAAGATCCTTTTCTTTGTTTTGATGTAAAAAAATGGCTCTAAAGGATAGAGATCTTTAAAATTGAGCGCAAGGTCTTCTTCTTCTTTTTTTTTTTTTTTTTTTGACTTTCAAAATGGCTCTTTAAAAGAAAAAAATGAAATAAAAAAGGAGCAACCCTAGGGGTTCAAACCATAGTTACCGGAGCGCCCCAACAGGGTGGCACTTCGGCTCCAGCGTTCCATAACTGGGATCTCACTCCATGATTTCTTTATTTCGGGATCTCGCTCCCATTTTATAGGCTACTCAATTCGATGAACAAAAGGATCTCAACCCCCACATACCTTGGTGGATGTTTGTGAAGATTGTAGATCCCGTTCCTAAAAAAATAAGGTCTTCAAATGCCAAAATTTGGGAGCATGATCCCTATGTATATAGAACTCCATCCTTATCAAGCAGTGACCAATGAAATCTGGAATAAACCAGAACAAGATCATTTTTATGTGGAACGGGTTGCGGTGCTTATAGGGAATATGAATCCATGTTTAATGGGGTTGGTTTTTTGATACATGTGGAGTTATATGATGGGAGCGTGGACTAATCAAGCACGGTTGTCATCCTTCTCTGAATGGAATTCGATCATTTCAAAATAATAAGGTGATTCAACTTCAAATGGGATATCGTTCCTATTCTGAAGGGGAGCATGATCCTGTTATATATGGGAACACGATCCCATTGTATATGGACCACATCCCCATTAAGTAAGGACCTAGATCCAGTGTATTGGGAACGCATTCTGCCATCATATGGGATCTCATTCTCTTACTTTTGCACTCACCGGAACTTGCTCTCCGAGAGCCAGAGCTTTGGGCAGCCATCTATCCGATGCACTTGTTCTCAACCCCAGAGCCGTTCCCGCTCCAGCTCCCGGTAACTATGGTTCAAGCCCTGATCATTCCAAGGAAGCTTCGGATAAAACTATGGCTCTTTAAAAAGAAGCACCAATGGAGAGGATCAAACCCCAAACCCTTCGTAGAGTACAGCATGTTGTAACCAACTAGGCCATATGAAGCTACGTTTTTTTTTTTGTTGTTGTGAGAATCAGCCATATGAAGCTAGTCATCAAAATACTACATCTTATATACATGAACTCAATGGTTTAAAAAACAGATCGGTGACTCCGATCGGGCACCCCAAAAACTCATATGGATTGGTGAATCGGCGATCCGGAGAGGAAATCAGCCGAATCGGTCGGATTAAGCTTTAAAAAATCTAAAATAATGATTAAAAGTCATTATAAATGTTGTTTTTTAATAATCCAATAAGAAATCAGGACACTACATTATTAAGTTTTATTTTTTCATCAATATGTGAATATTTAGTTTTTTTTCTCTGTATGAACTTATTTTAACAAAAATGCTTGTTGTATTTTTGAAAAAAATAAGAAATGAGTTTTTTTGACAAAAATACTTGTACGTTTTTTTATAAGAACTTTTTATTTTTTTGACAATAACTTTTTATTTTTTATTTTTTTTGACAAAAACCTTTTATTTTTTTTGACAAGAAAAAGAATTGATAAGAACCTTTCATTTTTTTTATACGAAAATTTTTATTTTGTAGATAAGAAAAAAAAATTGACAAAAAGCGAAATTGATAAAAACCTCTTATTTTTATTTTTTAGAAAAAGCCCTTAATTTTTTTTATAAAAAAAAAAATTGAAAAAAAATTTCATTTTTTTTATACGAAACTTTTTATTTTATTGATAAGAAATTTTTTTGAGAAAAAGCGAAATTGATAAAAACCTTTTAGTTTTTGGATAAGAAAATAATTTGACAAACAAAAAGAGAAAAAAAAAACCTAACTCAAGAATTGAACCCTCATCCATCTCACATTGAGGGTCCATCTCACATTGAGGACGCGCAACAACCAGTAGGGCACTTGCAACTTAGTGTTTATAAAATAGTTAACAAAATATATAATATATGAACATTTTAAGGTATTACCTATTCGCATAGTCCCACATCGAAGAGAGAATAACAAATTTATATGCATAAATAGTTCTTTGTACACATTCTTTGTAGCGCGTGTGAAGCAATGAAAGTACACGAAGCTTGTGGATCGTGAGCACATGGTCCTGACATCATGACCCTCGAAATTCCTTGAATTTTATGCAAATGCCCTTGACTGCTGGTCCTGACGTCATGACGCAAAGAACCGACATCATGACTCGAAGAACCGGGTGAGTTATTGTGCGAACCGCGACATCATGACTTAAAGAACCGGGCAAGTTATTGTGCGAACTGCGGGTGATTTATTGTGCAGAATCCGTCGAACGAAGAACCGGGCGAGTTATTGTGCGAACTGCAGGCGATTTACTGTGCAGAATTCGTCGAACCGACATCATGACTCGAAGAACAGAGCGAAAGACCCGGGTGAGTTATTGTGCGAACCACGGACGATTTACTGTGCAGAATCTGCTGGTTCTTTTCTAGAACCGGGCGATTCCCAGCTTTACAAAAGAACCGACAAGGGATGATCGATTCCCGATTCAAATCGGTTGATTCCGTGCCGACTCGACGAGAGTTATTGTGTGAACCGCGGGTGATTTATTGTGCAGAATCCGCCGGTTCTAGAACCGACATCATGACTCGAAGAACCGATCGAAAGAATCGGGCGAGTTATTGTGTGAATTGTAGGCGACTTACTGTGCAGAATCCGTCGGTTTCTTTCTAGAACAGGGCGATTCCCGGCTTTACAAAAGAACCGACACGGGATGACCGATTCCCGATTCGAATCGGCTGATGCCGTACCAACTAGGCGAGAGTTATTGTGCGAACCGCGGGTGATTTACTATGCAGAATCCGCCGGTTCCTTTCTAGAACATGGCGATTCCCGGCTTTACAAAAGAATCGATACGAGATGACCGATTCCCGATACGAATCGGCTTATTCCGTGCCGCCTCGGCAATTTTTAAAACACTGCATGAACTAATTGAATTACTGTTCCGACCAAAAATCGAATTACTGTTTCGACAAAAAATCAGCAATTACTGGTGATTCCAAATGCATACCGGTGATTCCCGATCTAGATTGGCAAACTCTAAAACACCGGTTAGACCTGAAGAGGAATTAAAGGTGAATGTTCCACGATACACAAATCTTTCAAGCTATAATATGCTCCTATGGGAGCATATACTATATACACTTACAATCTCGAGCAAAATACCTACTTGGTGGAAGAACCGGGCAAGTTATTGTGCGAACCGTGGGCGATTTACTGTGCAGAATCCGCTGAACCGACATCATGACTTGAAGAACCGGGAGGAAGAATTGGGCGAGTTATTGTGTGAACCACGGGCGATTTACTGTGCAGAATCCATCCGTTCTAGAATCCACCGGTTCCTTTCTAGAACCGAGCAATTCCCGGCTTTACAAAAAACCGACACGGGATGACCGATTCTCGATTAGAATCGGCTGATTCCGTGCCGACTCGACGATTTTTAAAACACTACATGAACTAATTGATTTATAGATTCCGACCAAAAATCAGCAGTCCCTGGTGACTCCAAATGCATCAAGGTGATTCTCGATGTAGATTGGCAAACTCTAAAACAACGGTTAAACCTGAAGATGAATTAAAGGTGAAAGTTCCACGATACACAAATCTTTCAAGCTATAATAGGCTCCTATGGGAGCATATACCATATACACTTACTATCTCGAGCAAAATACCTACTTGGGAGGATTTTTCAATCTCAAATTTTGGGACGGCCAAAGAATAATCAGATTAATATTCTCAAGAAAAAAAAAGAAAGAAAGAAGAAGTGGATATTGAGTTCTTAAACACTTAAAACATCACCCTCTAAAATTTGGATGATATAGTTTAATCTTGATACATTATTTTCTTTTAAATGTGCAGAATGCTATGAGCTACTTATATATATTTTTAGGATAAAGATGTTACATCCATTAAAAAAAGACTATTAGATTGGATTTTACCCTAGGGAGTAAAGGATAGATGCTGTGCCGGATTTTTGAAACAGATCTTCCATGGCATTCATCAAGGTTCCTGCTGATCATTGTCCTCACTACAGCCATCTTCAACCTCCGGGGTTGGGGGTGGCTCGGGGGCGCGAATGCAATGAAGTATGTGCACTGCCTGCCGCATCGAAGGTCGCTTCTTTGGATTCGGATGGCAGCATGCCAAGCCCACTTTAAGCATCACCTCCATCTCCGCCTCCCTATATTCACCGGCGATACGGCTATCCGCCGCCTCGAGAAGTTGACCTTCGTAGTAGAGCCCGTGGACCCAATCCACTAGCACCTGATCATTCCCGGGCTTCGTACGATCGATGGGCCTCCTCCCACATGCCACTTCCAAAGCTAAGACCCCAAAGCTATACACATCACTCGCAGTCGTGGGTGCAAGTGTGCTTGCTAGCTCTGGAGCGACGTAACCCATGGTGCCCACCACGTGCGTGGCCTGCGTGGGCTGGCCGTGCTGGTAGAGCCTGGCGAGACCAAAATCCCCTAGCCGCCCCCTCATACCCGCATCTAGCAGCACATTGCTCGATTTCACGTCACGGTGAACCACCTGTTGCTCCCACCCCTCGTGCAGATACAGGAGACCCTCCGCCACATCGGTCACCACTCGTCGTCGACCTTCCCAATTCAACAGATTTCGAGGGGAGTCGAATATGCGTTTGTCAAGGCTGCCATTGGGCATGAAGTCATAGACGAGCATGAGCTGATCGTCTTGCCGGCACCATCCCCTCAATTGTACCAGGCTCCGGTGCTGTAACCGCCCCATGCTCCATATCTCTGCTAAAAATTCTCGTATCCCTTGCTTGGATGTACGCGACACACACTTCACTGCAACTTCCAGGTTCGAGCCGGGAAGGGCCCCTCTGTATACTTTCCCAAACCCACCAGAGCCCAGTAAGCTCTCCTTTGAGAACCCATTGGTGGCTTGGTGCAGGACCTCTAAGGGGATCCTGTGTGGCCAATACTCGCTTTCCCACTCCTCCAACTCCTCCACTGCTGAACTCCCCTTCTTGAAAAACACCTTATAGATGATTCCGACCACCAAAGTGAGAAACACTAAAATGCAGGCTGATGAGATTCCGGCAATAAAAGCTCGGGATTTAGAAGAAGAGGACTCTTTCAAGGAGAATACAGGGAGGTTCAAGGTGTTGAGCGGCGGAGCCGGGCCATTGGTACTGAGGCTCCAGGCAAGGACCCGTTGCCACTCATAGGGCTTCCACCTCCACCCCGAGAATCCTGCAAACACCTCTGCAGCGAGGGACTCCTGAAGTTTGTCATTGCGGTATGAGAGTAGTGGACGGACTGGACGGGCTGTTCCCGCAGGCACAATTGTAACATTGATGGTGAGATTGGGGCCATCGAAATCAATCCAAGCTTGGATGTTCTGACCAGACCGTATGTCTAGAGACTCGAAACTGGTAGTCGAGCTCCAATATCCTGCAGGGGTGTTAACAATGGAGAGAGGAGAAGGGGGTTGGACATAAACATGGTTTCTGCCAAATTCTTGGTAGAAATTGGTGCCAAACTCGACATTGATGAGGCTGTCAAGATCGGGGACAGGTCCTTCAACAGGGGGCGATAGGAAAAACGCCAGGCCATGGCTTCTGATGGTTTCAGGGGTGCGACTGAGGATGGAGAAGATGAAGCTGGTGGAGAAGGACGACATGCTAGTGGAATTTTGGACTTTGATGGTAAGAGGAGTGGGAAAGTAGGCACGGCCGACCGATCTGTTAGAATCCGCTCCAGTAAGGAGGATGGTTCGGCCATCGAGTTTTGCGGCCTCGATGAGGGGTATCTCACCATCATTGAAGCCGTTGAAGACGAATTCAATCGCCATTGCAGGGTTCTGTGAGAGGACTAGTAGCACTGACAACAGAGGTAGCCATGGACATGAAATCAGGTGTAGAACAGTCATTTTTTGAAAACACAGGCATGAAAGGGATCTCATGGAGATGAAATCAGGTGTAGAACAGTCAGTTTTGGAAAACACAGGCATGAAAGGGATCTCTGTCCATCATAAAAGAGGAGAAGAGAAATAGGGTATGAATGGGTTCTTGGTTGCTGGTGAAATTAAGTCTTTCTTTTTACTGAAATTTTGTTTTTGGGTTAGGTAAAATTGTTGGGGACGTAGTCTAATGTGTCATCCACTTCAATTTGGAAAATGATATCGACCACAATGGTTAGCCATGTTTACTCTCTTCTTTTGGGGTTGCTGCATTGCAGATGTTTTGATTGAATTGAACTTTGAATACTCTTCAGGGAAATGATTGAGGTGACCTGATGTTGATCTCAAATACCTAAGACGCCCATGCATCTGGCACACTAATGTGGTATAAAAGTTTGGAATCTACCTAAAAATCTTTAAATAAAGGGACCCCCGAAGAGGAAAGCGAGGAAAAGCAAGACAAAGGAGTAGATAAAGATCCAGATTCGCTTTATTGTTTGCTTGTCTCGCATCATCCATGTTTTTATGGTGAAAATAAGTAAAACTACCCATCAAAAATTACAATTCAAGTGTTGAAAAACGTTTAATCGAACATCTTGAACATTATAATTGTGCAAAAAAAAATATGATTATAAAATTTAAAAATAGTTTATGTTGCAACAAATCATTTAGGCCATCCATTTCGCTTTTAAAAATTAGTGATTATAGCTCTGCAAGATCTATACCATTTTTTTGAATTTCAAATTTTATTGTCGATGTTGGAAATTAATTTTAGAGCATCATGAAGATATCCAATACCAAAAATGTTTTCCGGCTGAAGATTTGAGGTGAGGTTTTATTTTGTTTTCATAAATCCTAGGTCCTATAAAAACTCCATCCTCAAATGAATATAAGAAGAGTAGAATTTTGAGACCCGAAATAAAGATCTGTATTCAATCTTAGGATGTTCTTATTCTCGACAAATTTCTATTTTTTTTTTTTTCTTTAAGGAAATAGTAGTTAGGGTCAGGAGATTATATCCAAAATTCGAGCCCTAAAAATATTCTTAAATAGGGTTTTGCTCGAGGGTGAGAATCGGGTCGGATCGACTGGAACCGATAGGTCGACTCAATTGGGTCTGAATATGAACCTAATCAATGGACACGATGGTTCCGGTCTTGGTCCACTTGACCTTGACCCCATTGGATCGGGGTTCGAGTCCGAGCCTGTAGGGTTGGGTCTGGGTTGAGGCGGATCCGGCCTAAAAATATTAATATAAATTACATGTAAATAATACTAATTATACAATAAAAAATATATAAAATAATTCTTCATAAATTTTCTATTTATAAATCCGAACCTGATCCAACCCATGAATTAGATACAGGTCTAACGTAGACCTAGATAGGTCGGGTTTGAGCAGGACCCAAGCCAACCCATTCCCACCCTAGTTTTGCCCAACGGGGTGAACTAGGATATGCTCCCACAAGAGTATATCTTTTGGCTTGTTTGACACGCGTACGCAAGGTGGCAATCAGTGGTACCAGAGAATACATACTAAAACCATGGAAGCATATACGGTCCATAACTGTTGATGAACGGTGGAAACAAACCCGAGCTTCCGATCCCACATTCTCTGGATGGTCATCTCCACCATCCATCATTGAGAATGGACGGTTCTCGATTCATGCCCCGTGGGCCAACTTACAAATCATATAAGGGATTTCTAGGCTTTTCCTTTTAACATTTCGAGAAGTGGCCATTGCAAATATAGTCTATGTGAATTGAATGGTTGAATAATAACTGTTTGATAAGAGGGCTTTGGTCATTTAACGAGGGCCATCAGGAGAATTTTGACGTCTCGGTCTTGCTTTCCAAGAAACTAAAGTCCAACAATCTTTGCGAATCATGTGTGATTGGAAAGGTGGTCATATGTGAAATTCATTATTGTACGCAAGGTTTAAAAATTCGGTGATTTGATCCGAAATTGGGCGATTTGGATTGGGAATCGCTCAAGACGTTTCAGATTTGGCCAAAAAATGGGATTCGGGCGGTTCCAAATAGTAGAATCGCCAATTTTTTTGCGGAACCGCCGATTCTTCACTAAGTCCGACTGATTCTTCATCGAGTCAAGCGAAAAAAAGGATGAACAATTTTTCTTGAATTGTTTTAAAAAAATTGAAACAAAAATTATTGATTCCGCCGATTCTTCCAATCCAATCCACCGTTTCCCCCATTCTGACACGAGTATTGGTGTGACCGATTCAAGTAACTAATTAGTTTTTTAAACCTTGATTGTGCATGTAACTTTCTTATTGGAAAAAGTGTTCTAAATAAGGAAAATGTTTATATGAGGGTGAGGCCCTAAACAATCAAAGTTAGGTACACCTTCAAATAGTGTCGAAATATGTCGTTTCAATATTGATAATCTTTAAGATGACCAAAAAATATATTTTTATTTAATTATAAAATTTAAAGCTTCAAAAGCAGTGTAGATCAAGCAGATCTATAAACATTTAGAAGTCTTAAAAATTGACGATCTAGATGATGTATTACAAGATGTACTATTTTCAGCACTTAAAGTTTTTTTTTTTTATGTCCGTATATCTTAAAGTCAAGATGATCAAATTTGAGGATTTTTCGACATCAAAACAATTTATCCTAGTGAATTTTTGAGGTGAGCCCAAATTTGATTGTTTAGGGCCTCAGCCTTATACAAACCACACTCAATAAATAAATCAAACTTGGACTTTAAGCTTTGGTTGGTTACTTTCTTACTGATAGGAAGGTTTTAAATAAACCAAACTTGGACTTTAATAAAAGAAATTGTCCTTAACTATATGATGTGGAAATTGGAGAGAGGACTGTTGAAGTTATGTGCGGGTCAAATGTATTGTTTGGCCATTCGACAAGCATATTTAAGTAGCACGTACACTATGCTCCCTCGGGAGCATAGCTTACTTTGAATTCCCCGGTTAAAAAAGACCTACTTGAGAGAGGATTTTAACAATTTGAAAATCTGAGAACCTACTAAATGAATTTACTAAAAGAATTTGAAATTTGGTTTTCTAACATTTAGTCTCACCATCTAAAAATTGGATACATTTTTTTTTTTTTCAAGTGCATACAAGGTATACTTAAATTTTTTTTTTTTTAAAAAAAATTAATTCATAATTGAAGATGTTACATCCCCAAAATTTGGGCTCCTAAAATTAATTCTAACTTGGTTTTTACCTGAGGAAGTAAATGAACATTCTACTCCCACCGGAGTAGGATACCTTTTGGCTTTAGTATTTTGGTAAAATGTTTCATTTTTAATGAAGCGATGGTTGAATAAAGTCTCTCAAACAATACCAGATTAGGTTTTGACAATCCTACCCATGCTTTGCATGGGAATAGGCGAATCATAAATGCGTGGGCAAGAAAACTGGTCCCTAAAAGGTCCATTGAGCAAAAATATCGCCAACTTCTTTTAAAATCTTTTTATTTAGGTATCTTTTTATAAAGGAAAAGTTTAGATAGAGCCGAGGCTCTAAACAATCAAATTTGAGCCTAAAGTATATGTTTATAAAGGAAAAAGTTTAGATAGAGCTGAAGCTCTAAATAATCAAATTTGAGCTTACCTTAAAAATTTCATTAGAAAAGGTTGTTTTGATGCTCAAATATCCTCAAATTGATCATCTCAATATCAAGATGCATGGACATGAGAAAAAAATAGATTTGAAGTTCTGGAAATAGTGTATTATATATTTTTGGGCAGTCAATTTTCAATATTTCCAAGTTTTTTTAGATCTATCTATCTACACTATTTTTGAAGCACTAAACTTTAAAAATAAAGATTAAAATATATTTTAAGGCTATCACCAAGATTTCCTATATTGAAACCACATTTCTCGATACTATTTGAAGGTAGGCTCAAATTTGATTGTTTAGAGCCTAGACTCTATACAAATCGCACCTTTTTATAAAATTTGTTGAAAAATATTTTCATTGCTCTTCTAGGTTTGTAACCTTAAAGAAGAGAGGCCAGTTTGATAATTGGACTCATTTATGTCACTGAGATAAATAACCTAAATATCCATACCATTTATGTCATTGATAATTCTTGTTATGGGTTTTGAACACATAATAAGTGTGGCAAAGCCTCATCTTAGAGAAAGTTTTTTATAGAGTGAAACACTATAAAAAAAAAAAAAAAGAAGGATTTATTTAGCAAAAAAAAGGGGATTTATTTAACAAAAAGGAAAAAATACATGGTAGAGCATGCGAATGATGATAAGCATTATCTTTTTCAATAAAAATAACAAAAGGATTTATTTAACAAAAAAAGAAGAAATCATGGATGATGAGCATGTGATTTTAATATCAAGATGGAGATTGTTGGATATTGTAATATCTGAATTCACCTTCATTAGGAAATCTTGCTATATTATAAGTTATTGATATTGACATTAATAAATTTCCTACGTTTGTTGGGATACCCATTGAAGTCTAACTAGATTAGGATCCTCACTAATATCTTAAGTTTAAGATATGGACGGATCCTCACTAATATATAGGCGAAAATGAACAGTAATTTCACCTACCCTCATCACCGTCCAAAGTTCATCGCACGTTGACTATTGTCCAGTAGTATTTCGTTTTTTATTTTATTTTTACAAATCGGAATGATTTAAAATTTAGAGCGTGTATTCATAAAAAATAGGAGAATCTACGAAAAGTATCAAACAAATATTTTACATAAAATAAATTGACCAAAATACCCTCCAAAAGTATTTCAAATCATTCCGATTTGTAAAATTAAAATAAAATAAAACACTACCGGACAATCGTGACCGTGTGATGAACTTTGGACGGTGATGAGGGTAGGCCAAATCACTGTTCACTTTTGCCTATAGGCGTTGGGAAGACTTTTCCTATATATATATATATATATATAAAATAAAACAACCCTCAAAAACTATGTTAGACCCATTTGTTTATACACTTTTGAATCTAACGAACAATTACAAAAAAACAAAAATTGAAAACACCCAAAAAGAGGTTTTTAAGGCCCAACTAATATATGTTGTCCATTTTAGTGATATGCTTAGATCTAGGCTTTAGAAGGATTTTTTTTCCTTTTCAATTTTTTTAGAAAGCTTTAATATCATTAGATTAACAATACTAAAAAAAACGATCAATTTTGAATTTGTAAACGTCAAAATCATGAAATTCACTAAATGGATGGTCGAGATTCATTATTGGAGGGCACTCATTTGGAC